CGAAAAATTTTCCGAAAGTTCCTTGAGCGTTAGGAGTTTTCCAAACACGGTGTATGGCCCCCCATGTAGCACCTTTGATCTATCCTCCTCACTTTGAAATTTAAATATCATCCACCCCTTTTTGTGGGACCTCACTAGGCATTTAACACCCCATGTTGCTTTAAGATCATGAACCGCTTTGAGTCCGGGGAAATTCCCGGAGAAGTGTCCAACTAGGCAAAAACCCCACATTTCAATCATTGAAGGTAGTACACGATCACCAAAGTCCAAAGTTTCACCTTTTGGAGGTACATACCTCAATTTGATTCCATACCTTGGGTCGCGATTGTCTTTGAACAAAGCATTCCAAGGTTTTTCTGCCAAAGGTATGGCTTTAGTGGGCTGTCCAGTAGCTGTGATCTGGCTAAAATTCGTTTCTGCATCCGGCTCAGTAGCATTAACTGCACGGGCAGTACCTCCACCCTTCACAACAGCCTTAACTCCAGTATTTACAGGCTGCACTTTCTTCACACCTTGCTGCTTAGAAGCAGTTCCATTATCAGTAGTTTCTGCCAAATATTTGGCTTCATCACCCTTTGTCAAAGTTCCTGCAGCAGTAGCAGGAGTTTCACCTTTTCCTGCAGCAGTTGCTTTAGTCGCAGTAACTAAGGCCTCAGAAGTAGCAGTTGGTTTCACATTAGCAGCATTAGCATCCATTTCTGCAACCTGGATGCCTTTAGGCGCAGCAGGCTTTATTGCCAATGAGTTTACAGAATTCAGGACCGGAAATTCTTCATCCCTATCCTCCAATGCTGCGTACCTTGATCTGGTAAATCTCAGTTTAGAGGAGTTCCCAGTCACCTGTTCCGTTTGCCCCATTACAGGTACCTGCAGCAGTCCAAGAACAGGCCAAAAATATAGCCCACAAACAGAGAAACTGTTGCTACAGAGGAAGTACCACGCAGGTAAAACAGAGTTGGATTACCAGAGGAGGGACTTTCGTCCCAGCTAAGAACGAGTTCAGGAACCTGCAAAATTTCTCCCAACCTGCGAACCAAAAACCTTCCCGGCCTTCTAAGAATTTTTGGGAGCTGCGTCCAGGTACGACCCAGAAGAACCCAAAGAAATGACCAGAAAGCAGGTCGTCGTGAACAGTGAAATCGACCAAAAAGTCCGCAGAAAAATTATACAATTAGGTCATGCTTCGCATTTGCCCCTCATATTTCATTGTAAGCCCAAATCCTTCAAAGAGAAGCTCAAAAATGAACTCAAAATGGATTTCCGACCCAGAAGAACCCAAAGAAACGACCAGAAAGCAGGTCGTCGTGAACAGTGAAATCGCGCCTGAAACCTTCGATTTTTGTGTTTTTGGCCGTCGTTTTTCTTTCTAAAACCAAATCCAAGTTAAGATGATGGTATTAGTGAGGAATCCTGACCAAGAACAGCAATAAATCCGGATTATAGCTTACCAACCAACCAAGAAATCACCACACGCGCACGCACACGCACGCGCGCACGCGCACACACACACGCGCGCGCACACACACACACACACACATACATATATATATATATATATATATATATATATATATATATATATGAAAAATAGCAAACCAAAAGATTTACATTATAATAACAATATGCACCACTAGATTCACTATTCCAAAATTGGGAGCCATTGTTAAACTAGGATATTGGATTCAGTTCTTACATTAAGCCCTTAAGTGATGCCGGGCTGATATGAGTATGTCACCATGTGACACTCATTGTGATTACGGTCATAGTATTTGATGCACAACAGTCCTAATCATTTTGAACAACTAGAGTGAAAAAAAGAACAACTAGAGTGAACATACACCCTTTACTATAAGAGGGAGACAATCCATGGTTCTAAATGACATTTTAGGCTCATTAGAGGGAGTTGAGACACATTAATTTAAACTTCAGGTTGCCTATGTTGTCTCTATGATAAGAACAGAAATTGTAGTCAAATATGTACTGAAATAAATTCATATTACATAATACAATAAGGGTATTCAACCCTTATATGTAGCATTGGGCTCCTTTGCTTTCAAAATATGTTGAATTGTAGTTAAATAAATTTTTTGAAGTATTAGAACAGAGTTCCAACCTTAAATAATAACATATCACTCATACTACCTCATTAAATGCTAGAATTACAAAAATTCATGAAGGAGTTTTTAATCAAAGAACCTTTTTTCAAATGCTCCATATCAAAATTGATGTATCTATTATCAAAATTAGGGATTCATGAAAAGAGGAACAAATATGAGGAAATTGGATCAAGTTTATCGCATTAGAACGTTTTTGTACAAGGTATAACCTTTTGGAACTGCGATCCATGGTGAACTGTGATGCTTGATCCTCCTGCGGTTGGGCAGCTGCATCTTCTGCCACCTGATGATAATGTGTGGTCAAAGAAATCTTTCGCTGATGTGGTTGCAGATCGGTCATCTACGCTCTCAGCTAAGGTGCCATCAAGATTCAAGGGTATGCTAGCAATTACCATTAGTGATAATGATATTAAAGTGTTGGCGGATCACCATAAGCAAGCTCTGGTTGGATATTTTTTCAAAGGGAGACCTACCATAGCCTTAATTGAGAAATCCTTCTACATTATCGGGTTTAAAGGGCTTTCCAGTTAGATCTTTGGACCCTAAACATATTCTGATTCGGTTTGATTCCGAGGAAGACTACCTGAGATGCTGGAATAGACAAGTTTGGAATACTCAAGGGAAAACAATGCATGTCACAAAATGGTCACCAAAATTCTGACCTAACATGGAATCCCCAGTGGTTCCTGTTTGGATTATTGCCCTAGAAGGTTTGCCTATACATTTACAAGTAGGGTTGGCAATATCACCCGCACCCGCGGATATCCGGTCAACCCGAATCGAAAATATGGACGAGAACCCAAAGAAATATGGATGAAAAATGGATGACGAGTTGGATCGGGTGTGGATGAACACTCATCCAACCTATCACCCGACCTGTCACCCGCTCCATCCACCCGCACCCGCTGACCCGCATATAAATATATATACATATATTATAAAATCTATTAAATAATATATTAATAATAATAATAATTAATAATAATATATTAACAGATACTACGTAACTACGGAGTAGCATTGTAGTGACTAAAATAGGAAACCAGTCCTAATCCCGTTGAACTGCAAAAATAGTTTTGTGTTGATGCAGAAATGTAGAATTGACAAATTGAAGAAATTTTTTATCTATTTTGTTTGACAATTAGTTCTTTCTTTATCATCGGCAGTGAATTAATGATTGTAATATACTAGTACTTAATTGCTCAAGTTTTTGTAGTTATTTTTCAATGAATTCTTAATTTTTGTCATAATTTCTTTTTATAATTTATTTATTTTGTCTTTCAAGTTTGACCTTTTGTATTCACCCGTTACTCACCCGATCCACCCGATAACCCGTTCATGATGGATGAGTTGGATGTGGATGTAAATTTTAATGGATGATGGACGGGTGGGTGGACTATGAAAAATTAATGGGTGGACGACGGATGAGCCTTCACCCGGCATAAATCCGATCCGCTGCCACAATGCCACCCCTATTTACAAGATAAAAGAGCATTATATTGTGTGTGCATAAATCCGATCCGCTGCCACCCGGCATAAATCCGATCCGCTGCCAGTCTGCCACCCCTATTCACCTTGCAACACTATGATTTGCTTTTTGGGGCTAAGGGGAGTGTGCATCATAACCTCCTCTTAGCCATGCTTTTTTCATCATATTGATATATTTTGGTGATCTATGTGCGTGCATCTTGCAGCACCGATTGATTTTTGAGCTTTAGGGGCATTTGGTATATTGTATACTTAGGCCCCTTTTGATTTTGATTAGATCGAACAAAAACCTCTCCTAACCCCTACACTAGGGGTGGGGGGTTTTAGGAGATCTAGAACATTTTGATGTATAGTTTTCTTTGGGTGTTAATATAAATTTACATTTCATCCAAAACAAAAAGATAAAAGAGCATTATTTGATGTAGCAAGACTGATAGGTAATCCATTGAAAATTGATTATGCTATGGCCTCATTAGCCAGGACATATATTATTATATTGCACGGGTATGTGTAGAGCTAGACCTTACTAAGGAAATGCCACACAAGATCTGGATCCATTGTGGTGCCCCTGATTTTTCCCAGCAAGTTGTATACGAAAACAGGCCTTTATATTGCTTGTCCTAAACACCCAACGAATATCACTGCGTCTCAGCCTAAGGATTAATGGGTTGTTAAACCCACAGTGGACAACATACTCTTCTACTCATTACAAATGGGGATAAAGGTAAGGGGAAAGCACATGAGATTTGTATAATCAATGATAAAGACCCGGACGTGCCATCTACTTCACAAGCTCATAAATCTCAAATTGGTACAAGCAATGGAGGTAAAGATCCCATCATAGAGGACACCTCCATTGATGGGGCTGGAAACCATAAACCAGCTTACACCATGCAACAATTGCTTCTCATGGAGGTTCCCGGGCTGGTACCTTCTCACAAATCAGATGTTGAAAATCCCTCAGAAGTCAGATGATTCCACTCTCCATCAGATCAGACTAGTTGGGAATTTGATCCCTCTTTGCTTGCTAAAGGATATGCTTCTGATGGAGATAATCCACCAAACATATCTGATAAGGAAGCCTGGATTGAAAAATTACCATCACTGCAAACAAAAGTAGCATTTATTGTTACATATCCGAATTTTTGTAACAGATACCGTATTATACATGTATACGTATTTACACGTTTTTTAAAAGTCAACGTTTTTTGAACGAATTTTTCGCTGTTTTTCATTAATGTTACCGAATAAAACGCGTACGTATTAAACCTCGTTTAATCCTCGTACTGTGTTTAACTAACTAGGATATATAGTAAAAAGAAATAAAAGTATACACATATTCAAGTAGCAAATCACATTACTACATACAAGAATAATTCGTAATTGCAGGTGGATGCCAAAAATAAAAATAGTAATTAAGTCCAAAACATAATTTTGCAAATAATGTCAAAAACATGAGGCATAATGACAATAGAATGATCATAAGTTAAAATCATTATCTTTATATGATCATCAAATAACACTCAAGTTAAAATCATCATTTTCATTAAGATGACAAATGACATATGAGAAAAGGTGTGCGACTGTTACGCTTTTTATTGTTTAGGTGTAAAATTTTATGCAAAAAAAATGTCAGGTTTAGAAAACTTTAACTTTGATATGCTTGTTTGTCAAAACATCAGAATTCTAGTAGTATTTCAAGTTTTAATCTTTTAGGATGCTAGCTTTAGCTGCCATGCAAATGATTTTAGCATTTAATAATTAGATTGTAACAATACAAAAACAAAAGATCAAGGTGAAGAGGTTTTCCTTTTTGCATTTAAGCTATTGTTGATCTCCTATGCATTTAATGCATTCATTCAATAGATAGTTCATGTTTCTATTTTTTGTAAAATACGGGAAAAATACGTTATATACGAGAAGTACGAGTTTTTTTCCTTTCTAAACGGACCGACATTATTTTCGTTTTGAACACATTTTTGGTTCAAAAAAACGGTACGCGTTTAAAACACAAAAAATAAACATGTCACACCCATAAAAGAATAATAAAATAAATTTTAAACTAAATCATTTATAATTACCAAAACATTATTCATTTGTATCTCTTCTTCCTAGTCATTGGCTTCCTCTTTCATCTGTCTATTTTTACTTCCTTTTCTACAGTTTTAGCCGTGTCCAGATGATCACAATTCTGACAAATATGATGCATCTCATCATTCATATCTTTCATCGTTTCGTGCTCCATATCCTTTCCATCTTTCATCAAACCTATATCATGGCTAGCTTCTCCTCCTTGCTCTTTCTCTTTAACGTGATCCGCTTCCTTCTTTCTTGTTTGATATTTCCTTTACAAGAGATAGAATCTTTTTTAAAACTGTATCCTGTTTGTTTTGCCTTTTTTGTATTTCTTTTACCTCTCCAAGTATTTTGGCGATGTCTTTGGAGTGTTTCGGTGCCTTGATCACTATGTTTTTTCCTGCCCTTGCCGTATCTTCACTTTCATGGGAACTGGAATCTTCACTATCATTCACATTTCCCCCCTCTTTCCTCAATACTCGCTTAATACACTCTCCTTTCTCCTTTTTGCTTTCACACTTCTTATTCCTTGCACTTTTTCTGTTGCCTCTGCCATCTAACACACTTTCTGTTTCTTTCTTCTTTCCTTTTTGTTTTTCTGCATTCTTTTTGTTTTGTTTTGTTTGTGCTCTATCTGCATCAATTCTTAAGTCCTGGAATGCTTCATTGCCTTCGCACCCCTGAAGCCCTTCTATGCATTTTATCTCCTCTAGGCTTGGAACCATTGTTATCCACTCAAACTGCCAAAATTAACATTTCAAGTTAACATATTACTATATTATTTGTTAAAATATATTTAAATTAAATGTGTCTCTAACTATATGCATTTACCTCGGTATTATTGAAGATGAGCTCACACAACTTTTCTAATGATGGCTTTTTGAAAAAAGACCATCTTAGAGTCCGGGGTATTTGATCTTCTTTCCCTTCTATTTTATTGCACAATCCTGCACTAGCCAAACTTGGAAATGTTTCAAAAGCCCAAATTTGTATTGCATGCATACAACCTGGGAAAGCAACCCTATTTCCTGTGCATATTTTCAATGCTTGCGCATTGTTTTTCATATTGGACACAAGGTCATCCCAAACATCCTCTCCCCAAGGGTAAGAATTGAAAGCATCTAGATCTTCTACTAAGTTCATATATTTTCCCGGTAAACGATGTGAGTACTGATTTCCTAGGAAACCATGTGCTAGCACATACAACAGTGCTAGTTTAATGCCATCTTCTTTTTGTGTCCCAGGATATTTAGAATTGTACTCCTCCATTGCTTGAATAATATCTTGTCTAAGTATTATTTTCTTACTACCAAAGTATCTTCGGCACAAATCCCCTCTTGGGACATCAAGAATATTAGGGAATTTTCCTCTTATCTTCAAGCCAGTCACTATTGCTAAATCATCCTTTGTAAAACCTATCACCCTATTCCCTATGTGAAACCTTATTATAGTTTTTTCAGTTGTCCCATTAAACTCCTTGATGTAATTCGCTACAAAGGCTATGCTTAATTGCCCACTTATTCTTGGCATGTGTTCTATGTCTAGAACCCATCCGAAAACGGTGTCTCTGAATTGTTCTATTTCTTGTTGATTGAGTTGGACCTTTATTCGCTTAGCTACTTCACTCAAATTGCAATAGCAATTCACACGAAGCTTTTCTAACTTCTGCAGCAGTCCACTGTCACAAGTCCTTGTTATAGTCTGTAATAATAATTAAATACAATTATTATGTAGTTATTAAGAATAAACCGTTCTTAGTTTACTTTATGATACTTGATTGTGAAAGATAAAATATACGGAGTATTAACTTATTATATTATGGCACTTAATTGCCATCCTAATGACATCTATAAGTATTTCATTCTAACATTCCCATCCTACAATGCTCTTGTTTATGAGGTTTGCCTTTTGACAAATTTTCACAAATACAAGTATAATGTGTACTAATGTCATTTCGACTCGATAGCTACCTCCTACAAGAATAAATTGTTTTAATATGTTGTAGAATTTTAGCATGACACTAATTAACTTTTTGAACTTTAACAGAAATGTCAATAAGCTAATCATTTACAGAGCATGTGCATATTTAATTCATCTTTTCTAACTACACATCGGTTTACTATGGTACTTGGCCATTCTAATGACATTTAGTTTAATATATTTGATTTTTGACATATTTTATCATATAAGATGGCATTCAATCACAAAATGTTTTTTGTAATATAATCCTTTAGAACGCTTTCACTCTATTTAGTTTTCCAAATATTACTTTACATTGCAAAACGAACTCAAATAATGCATTCCTAAACACATAAGCGCACACATATCATTATATGATCTCTTCCTCAGCACATTAAATTTCATGAGTAACACTTGCATTGGATCTGTATAGAACCATTGGTAGTATATGGCACTAACAACAAATTTATACTACGTATCATGTATTAGTCATTTCCCTCGGAATTTACCATTGGTGAAGAACTCGTCACACAAAAATGCAACTAATAGCAAAAAATGTCATTCATGAGTTGAAATATTCCAACAAACATCTGCATGTATCTTGGACACTAATTTCATAAACAAAATCAAATAAATTTGACATTAACAGTCTAAATCGTACCAGGTCTCGTTTTATTTTAACGTTTTGACCAGTTGACTCAAAGTCGAAATCCACCATTGTATTTTCTTATTTCTCCGTTCTCAAGCTTAGTTCTGTGTTTTGCTTTTATTTCTTTAACACTCTTTTTGATTATTTCTTTTATTTTTTCATTCTCGGACTCTAATGGCTTTGCCTATTCGAAGGTTTGAATGTTTAGGTTTCTCGATTAATTCAAGTGTCAAACGAGTGGATTCATTCATTCAAGCGCCAATTCGTTAACGGAAACCACGTTATTTATGGCTTACACAGAGAGAAGCCCCCCAGCAGTTTGTTATTTCATTAAGGGTATTTATTTATGTCAGGCCACTCTTTTTTACTCCTACTAAACCGAACGAAAAGTTGAACTCCTATTTGTGCATAATTGTTATGTTTTAGTTCGGTAATTTTCTCGGTTTGAATTCCTGACAATTACGTTATGGGAAACTTTACTCAGCAAGTGGTGTCTATAACTCTGTAAGTACTCGATACAGACTTCAAACTCTATTAACCAGATTGTGATTCCCTTAGTTTCATACCCCAGCAGATGGTTCGGCCGGTTCTAGGAGACCCTCCACAATGGAATGCATACTTGCTTAAAATAAAATTACCAAAGAGAAAGATACATACCATTTTCTTATCGCGGGTTGGAAGGGAAACTGACTTAGTAGATTCATCTGTCTCCTCTCCTCTCTTCTCCCTTACATTGCAATCAAGATTAGTTGATCTTCCACCTGCTAATTTATGGTATGAGTAGAACAGTTTAACATTCTTCTAAGTAGCAGGACTGAGCAAATTTAGCTCTAGAGTGATTGGTTCAGATTCAACCCCAACAGGTTACGAGCCATAAAGTTTTCAGTTATATTCAAGACAATTGAGGTTACTACTTCCGGCCAAAACCCGGAATACCAAGGTCACAACCGATTAGACTCAAATTAAACCATACAGTTATTTTTAAATATGTAATTTACCTGAAATGTATTAATGGTTAGCAATGTTTAACATAATTTTTATAAAAATATATATAAAAATCAATTATATAAAAATTTATTTAAAACCTAATTAAACCTAGCAAAGTCAACTTTTAAAAATGAAATTTTTTATATAAAAAATTCAAATTCGGTCCAACCGATTCGATCGGGTTATACCAAGAGTAATCTGATCCCGTCTATGGAAATGGATTTAGTAACAACAAGTATAATACATGGTAGGTTTATGAAGAAATATAATATGGAGTATACATTTCTTAATCTAGACTTACAAACTCTATTGGAAATGGATTTAGTAACGACAAGTATAATACATGGTAGGTTTATGAAGAAATATAATACGGAGTATACATTTCTTAATCTAGACTTATAAACTTTATTGTAATCATTTTATAGTATTATACTCATGCACATTTTCTTCGAACAATCAAATAAGCCCTCGAACTTTCTTCGAATTAGCTATGTCTATTTATTTCAAACAATAAACATGTTTTTGTATGCACCAAAATTCATTCCGATAATTACACATAACGAACTCATTTCAATTTAAATCAATAGAATTAACTATGTCTATTCATTTGTTATAGAAAAATCTTTTGAAAAGCATATACAATTATACAAGTTTGTAACTTTGTATACAAATCTCCGTTCACTAAACTTGATCAGTCTAAACACAATGCACATATAAGAAAAAGGGAGAACTATCAAATAAGCCCTCAAACTTTCATAAAAACTGCAAATAAACCCTTTTCCAGGAGGTTTGTCCGTCTGTCGCCATTTGGGGCAGTTTCCGGTGGATTTTTTTGATGAATTTTTTTTATCATCTCCTTCATTGAGTCTAGTTTATCATACCAAATTTCAGCTAAAAATTCAATCGAGAAGGCAGTCAAATGATATTTTGAAATATACTGCGCTGCCTAACTGCGCAGTTATCTTCAAAAATTAATTTGACTGTTTTCCTGATTGAATTTTTAGCTGAAATTTGGTACGAGTAAACTAGACTTAATGAATAAGATGCTCAAAGAATTTATCAAAAAATTCCAGCGGAAACCGCCCCAAATGGCTACGCCCCAAATGACAAAGCTTATTTACACTTTTTATGAAAGTTGAGGACTTATTTGGTAGTTCTACCGAGAAAAAAAGATTAATTGTATAAAAAAGATCTACTTACAAAAAAAGTTCATCTGATTAAAAAAATCTATCATATGATTTAACATTTATTAAAAATGATTCAAACTTGTAGAATTTGCTCACAGAGTAGGTTGTAGGCATATACCAGGGGAGAATCGGGAGGATAGTTGTTTTTCGCAGCAAGTGCAGTCATAGAGTCGAACATGGAAAGTAGAGTAGTTATCCATCAGCCAGAATACTGCGAAATCCCCCGCCGCCAAATCGTTATCCCTCACAAATGCACCCCATCCTTCCCCAAACAGGGAATGCTCGCCGTTCTTCTCAAGCTTCACGGCCCATTTTTTCTCCAACGCGGCGGCGGCGTTCACTTCGAGTGACAGCGTCAGCGACAGCTTTTCCCCATACATCTCCACAAAGAGCGGCGGTAAACGCTGCAAGTAACGGCAAATTAGACACATGCATTCACGGAATCGATTGTGTACAACGGAAAATTTGAAAACTTACCAGAGCATAGGCAAAATCGCCTATTAGGATCTTGAAAAACGAAGGATTTTGATTCTGCATCTTAAAATTACCGGAAATATTGACTATTTCCTGTTTCAATGAATTCTTTAATCTCCATAGAGAACCAGTTTTTAAAAATCAATTGAAGTTCTGACTGGTTTCTTTACTCCTTAACAATTTGGTCTTTGACGTCTTTGGGGAAAATCTGAAATAGAAATGAAAATGTTTGGATGTTCAGTGTTTCCAACTGATTTTGCTTTTACTTCTTTTTTAAAACAGAAGCATAAGTAGAAATAGTTTTCAGATGTAATTAGAGCATCACAAGTAAATTAGAGCATCACAAGTATTTCTGGACTTTCACTCAATCACTCCATTTTTGTTTTTGCTCTCTGAAAGAGCAGAAGCAATTTTAAGAATCAGATCCATACACGTTCTTAACTTTTTGGGTTATTTTTATTTTCTGGTTGGGAACCAAAACATATATGAAAATAGTACATATTATAAAAAATAAAAATTTAAAATGATTTCTTTCTTCGCGTTAGTCAAACTTGCAATTTTTTAAGGGACATTATTTAATTGGCATAAAGTCATTTAAATTTAATTAGGCCTCAAACTAAATCAAACCGAATTAAATACAAAGGATTCGCTAAATAAAAAATGACATACAGACTTAACTCATATACTTCATAATAAAAATTAGGATGTTTTTACTTGAACTATTTTCAAACCTAGACAAGATTAGATCATATCACACCAGACTTGGACAATTATAAAATATACAGAAACCATACATTTAGCAGATCAGATCAGAACAGTTCAACTTGATCATATCAGGCCAAACCAGAAAATTCTAGTCCAAATAAAACATCTTTAGCAGACTATCAACTAGGCCATTCGAATCAATATAGATATATCAGATTTATAGAATAATATAGATCAAATTTAAGGGAATCAAATGAAACCAAGCAAAATAATACTTTCAAAAGAATTTCACAGTGCTACGCATAATTGACGTCATTATTGTATTATTCTATGACTAGATTTTCACGTGGACAAAAGAGTGACCATCCCTAAATGCTGCTCCCAGGTTCCCCCTCCTGACGCAAACAAATCGGTATAGTTTTTAGTCAATAACTCCTCTATTTCCTCCTAACTAGTTAACCATCTGCCCCCTTCACCGCGGATCCCTCTAATTAGATTTCTTACCTTCTCTATTTAACCGTGGTACCCCCATCTTAATAAACTCATGTATGCTATCTTCGCCTGTGCATACCACTCAACACTTGCCTGATCTGCCTTCCCACGGAGCCAGTTCATCCTACGCTTACAATCATCTATCTGCCGTTGGAACCCCATCCGGAACTGTTTTCCCCAGTACCCGAGTTCAACACCACAAAACGGAGTTGATCCATTAATTTATGCTCCCAGTGATTTTCACGTGCTTGTTCTACTATTTCTCCACACTCTTTCTCCCGGAGCCAATGGTTTTCAAATTTGAAACCTCTTGTATAATTCTTTGTCCATTCCTGGTCTCATATTTTAAAAACAATGCCATATGATCACTTGCCCCCCCCCCCCCCCCCAATCAACTGAAATAGTCCAAGCATTCCCAAATATGTCAAGCCATCCTTGAGATATCAAAGTTCGGTCCAGTTTCTACTCCACCCTACCCGATGTACCTCTACCTCTCTCCCAGGTAAACTGATGCCCCATCAAAAGAAAAATTTGACAAATCGCTGCTCCACATAGCGTCTCAAAATCCATACATTAACCATCGCTGACCAAGAATTCCTTTCTTCTCAAAATCACACATAATATCATTATTATCTCCCATAACAACCCAAGCTACATCGGTTACTTTAGCTAAGGATTTCAGCATATTCCAAGCTTGTTTTCTATTATTCCTCTCCGGGCAGCCATAAAATCCCGTAAATCTACACTTGCAATTTGTAGCCATATTTGCCACAATTACATCAATAAAAATCCGGCTGAAATTACTAACATGTACGATGATATCTTCCGTTCAAAACATTGCCAGTCCTCCACTATGACCTTCACAATTCACAGAAAAAGCATGTTCAAACGCTATCTTCTTCCTTATCTCCTCTATACGTTCATGCTTCGCCAACGTCTCCATAAGGAAGACGAGATTGGGCCGATGAGATTTAACAATATCCTCAAGAATCTCGACCGTTGCTAAATTACTCAAGCCACGACAATTCCAACTTACACACCCCATCACAAAAATTCAGACCTGAATTGGTCTGCCTCCCGACTTACGGGGTTAAAACTCTGCACAATGAAGGGGGAAACACAAAACACCAGATAAAACCCGGACAACATGGAAGAAGGATGGTAGCCGCACGTTCTCACTCTTGAAAAGCGCTTGTCAACGTGCTGCATTCGTCGTCATCGCTAGGTTTTTTTTGGTATGTCAGTTGTGTTATGGATATTTAGCTTTATGTTCAAGAAAAGGAACATGTTGGATAAAATTTTAAAGCAAACTTGTTAAAAGCGTCTAAAGCGACAAAGCATAGGCGAGTACTATAACTCTGCCTCGCTTTTGAGAAGCGCGTCACCGTGAGAAAGCCCAACTTTTTCACCGCTTTTCTTGAGAAGCGCGTCACTGTGATTCATAAAGCGATCGTTTGGCTGGCCAATTTTTTAGTTTGAAAACTTTCATCTTTTCAGCCTTATTACAGAGATCTTCAGCTCACTTTTACTCTGTTTTTTTACTGATTATGGAATTCCAGTTTATTCCACTAAATTAAATTCAAGTTTATTCCTTTGTGTTTATTTGATTAATTAATTTTAGTTTATTCCAGTTAATTAATTTTTAGTTTTTTCCAGTTTATTCCTTTCACTTTATTGATTAATTAATTTTTAGTTTATTCAAGTTTATTGATTATTTAAATTTTAGTTTCTTCCTTTATTATGTGGCGCTATGTCGTTGTTTGGTTTTCTTGTTTGTTCCATGGGTTTTTGGTGAGTACCCATTTTTAAAGGAAAATTCCAGATTCCATTTAGATTATGTCATCTTTGGTGCTTTGCTTTGCTCTTAACCTTGATGTCTTCTTGGTTGTGGAAAAGATTTCTTCTTTAACCATGAATGTTGTTGGAGTGGTTAATGATTAGTTGTTGATTTTGTTTTCTGGGTGTGTGATTAATGACATTATCATCCCAATCAGATGTCATCCTTAGAACCGTTTTTAATGAAACTATGACATTATGTGAAAAATGTTTTTATCTTTATGCTGCGCTAGTAGTATTATTCTACTCCCTCCATTCCGCAAAATAGTTTTCAGTTTCCTTTTTGGGCCGTCCCAAAAAATAGGTCTCATTTCCTTTTTTGGAAAGTTTTGTGTGGCTCACATTCATTTACCTTTTTCTTACTCAATCACAAGCATACATTTCTACTTTATTTTCACTTTCTTAAACTCCGATTCAAGTCGATGCGGAAACTATTTTATGGGACGGAGAGAGTATTAGTTATGCCACTTACTCAATCACAAGCTTTTCTATGTAAATGATGTACTATGTGCCTATTATTAGCTCGTACTTGTAAACCCTACTCTATCCCTATTTATATGGGCTTTCGGTAATGAAACTCTACGAACAATTCTCCCTACAACACGTTATCAGCACGATAACGGCTTCACAAGTTAATAATTTGGGAAAATTCCCTACGCTCGACACACAGGGGGAGAATTAAAGGAATTATATTCCTCTATTGTGTGCCTTCGCTAAGGTAATAATGTTAAAAGTATTGAAATGCACATATTTTACAAACACCCTTGATTAATGTAAGTATTAAGGTTAGATGTAGACTTGAGGGGGAGTACCCCAACTAGATTACGTTACATTCTTTTCCTTTACCCAAATTTTATTTTTTTCCACTGTGTTTTGTTACTTGGTAAGGTTTTTAATGAGATAACAATACATATAAACTTTAATGATCAAAGCAAAGATCAAATAAAGATAGACGTACTTAATGAAAGAAGCCTATCTTGATGCTATACTCCTTTTTCTCTAGTCAATGTTATTTGTTCCCACATAGTTTTTATTACTTGACAGAGTTTGAAGAGGCAACAAGACAAATACAACATTCTATCTACAACTCACACAAGGGGGAGTGTTGAAGGAAATTCTATGTTGTGTGCTATCGTTTAGATAGAATATGTATTAGGGTTTTTCTATTAGCCCGTACTTGTAAACCCTACTCTATTCCTATTTATAGGAGCTTTCGGTAATGAAAGTCTACGGACAATTCTCCCTACAACAATTCATTTGAATTGATTCTATTTTCCTAACATATATGTATCTTTCATCAACAAAAAAGGCAGAAGCGTCTTGAGGACTTTTGAGGCCCCAGACAAATAAAAATATTATATTCAAATCATAAAAAATCATACGAAAAAATCATATTCAAAATTGCAGATATAACGTGAACGTCCAAAGGAAAAGTTCATGAAAGAGAATTTCACTAGTTATCTCAACTTATTCTTTCTTTTTGTACTAATATAAAAACCAAGAATCTATAAATAATAAACTAACAAAAACCAAGAATCTATAAATAAAAATGACAAAGCAAAGAAAATAAATATTTTAGTAATACCAAAACCATCACATTAATTATTTCATGCCTATATCATACGACATATAATCTAATCCATACAATACCAATTAGTTTTACCAGTATAGCATTATTAACCCAATAATTTTTAAATTACAACTATTTGTCATACATTCAACATATTAAATATTTAACTTTACACCTTTACTCCTTTAGTAGATATTATTTCACTGTAATCACATTAAAACACTTGTAGTACTAAAAAGTTAAAATCCTTATTACCTTATTTAGACATCTACATGTGACACGTCGTTGCCTGCTGGATGCGTAGAAGATAATATTCTTATTCTAATTTACAATTAATAAGTAATTATACATAATACTAATAGTAATAGCTTTGATTTTGGAGGCCCCTTGAAATGTGAGGCTCAAGGCTGTGGCCTGAGCTAACTCCCCCAAAGTCTCCTCTGAGAAAAGACAATGTCACACTCTGTACTTGAGTAGCTCTCTGACCAATTATTTTTCCAATTAATGACCTAAAGCAGGATCGGCTTGACACATTAAGACACCCAGTGTGAATCACACAAATGAGACCTTTTATTAAATAAAACGCATATCTAATGTGTAGACATATGGTTTGCTTTTATTTGGAGTTGGGCCGTTCGGTGTGGTGTATAAAGGTGTTTAAAAAATGCAAATGGGCTCCTATTAATAATTTAAACAATTACGTACTTTATAGAGTACTCTTATGGTCAGGAATTCCTGACCGGAACCTCCGTCCAAACAGCGGCGTTTGGGGCCCCTCCTGGTGAAATTTTTTTATGAAATTTTTATGTCATGTTCTTCATCTAGTCTAGTTTATCTACAAAAAAATATCAGCTAAAAATTCCAACGGGAAGACTGTCATATGACTTTTGAAAGATAATTGCGCCAGAATATACATATAAAACGCAGTTAACTTCCAAAAATTATTTGACGATCTTCCCGATTGAAATTTTAGCTGAATTGTTTTTTGGATAAATTAGATTTGATGAAGAATATGTCATAAAAATTTCATCAAAAAATTCGACCAGAAAGACACTGAAACGCCACCGTCCGAACGGCAGTTCTGGTCTGGAAATCCGGACCTGAATATTTCTCTACTTTATATATATATATATATATATATATATATATATATATATATATATATATATATATATATACATATATATATATATACTCCCTCCGGTCCCAAATGAAATTCACACTTTGACTTCACACAAAGTAAGGAAATAAATTTGACTTTACTGTAGAGTACACCGTTGTGACACTGTTTTGCACTGTTTTGATGTAGATAATTTGTCAAATAAAGAAAGAAGAAGAAGTGTGAAGTTTATTTTGGACCTACTCAAAAAGGAAAGGGTGAATTTCATTTGGGACTGGAGGGAGTACTATTTAAAATTTTTAAAAAATGGACCTGCTATTTTTGGAGGCCCTAGGCCCTAGGCAGTAGCCTAAAGAACTTGTAATTTGATGAGGCTGATACACGTTCGATTCTGTTCGAAATCGTTGTTGTCGACCTAATTCTGGATTTTTTTTCTACACTCTAGTTGCTCATATATAAGCGTACAAGATAGATAGTATATGACAAGTATACCTGCCTTACCAAGTTACCAAACAAGAAACAAACCCAATTCAATAGAAACTAAGGCCTTGTTTGGTTCAAAGGAGAGGAGGGGAGAGTCAAGGAGGGAAGGGAAGAGAAGGGGAAGGAAGGATTTTGATAAAAATTTGTGTTTGGTTGGAGGAAATAGGAGGAAATGTTTAATGAAAATATTTTCGCAATTTACTTTTATTTGATAGCTTACTTAAAAAATAGATACATGTCTAACTATTGTGAATATTACTCCTATGGTCATGAGTCATAATTTTATTTTATTTGATTTTTTACTTTTTTAAATTTATAATTTTTCATTTTTCAGTTTGGAATTTTTAATTTTTATTTTTATTTTTTAAGTTTTTTATTTTTTAATTTTTAAATTTTTTAATTTTTAAAATTTTTAATTGTTAAATTTTTTAATCTTTAAAATTTTAAATTTTTAAATTTTTAAATTTTTTAATATTTCAAAACTTTTTGTTTTTTACCTTTTTATATTATAACATTTTGTTCATTCACGTAGAAGATAGGGAGGTTTATGGTTATCAACACGTTTCCTCCGAAATACCTCGATTTGGGAGGTATAGAATGAGAGAAAGTGAAGATTTTAAAAGCCTTCCACTTTCCTCCTCTTCCCCCTATTTCCTTCAACCAAACACACACAAGTCCCCCACTTTCCTTCCCTCCCCTCCGAAACCCTCCAACCAAACAAGGCCTAAAGGGTCACATGTTTATCCATGTATAACTTTAATTTTAACGGTATATATGTCATTATTTCATATTTTTATACTCCTTTCCAATCATTTATGATGCAAATTTGTTACGGAGTATATAGCACTAAAATTCAAAGTGAGTTATTTTGATTGTGTGAATATTGTTTGAGAACCTTAAATTGAGATTGTTGGATTAGTAACATATAAAAATAATCTTATTATGTAACGTAACATGCTTTTAAACTTGTGTTGTAGTTTTTTTTACTCCAGGATGCGTCTGGAGGAGGGGGCTGGGGGCATGGAATAATCAGGGTTGAAACTCACTCCATTGAGTTTCAAACCCTTATGTGTCTGACGAGTTTCGAACTCGAGACCTCTAACTAAGCACGGTAACCTCATAACCAGTTGTGCTGGAATGGTTGGTTGTGTGGAAGTAATTTCATTACATGACACATTTATACAACTTCACTATCAGATAAGTAACACTATTAACAATGATCACAGATATGTGTTGGCCAACCAACATTTGCAACTTGAAAAAACCTATGTTAGTTTAACCTAACACAATGCAATTTGGTCAAAAGTACTTCAATATCATAAACTTATATACGTTATAAATAAAAAAAATCAATTTGTTTGAAAGTAGTCAAACTCTTTGAGGTGACTATATATACATACCCGGAGCTAATAAAACTAACCATCCAGCTTCATTATACGAAGTAATAATTGTTAATTTGCCTTGGCTTATTTATGTTTGCAGCCCTAGCTAGTGAGCTGCATAATATATCAAGATCGGACTATATATAAGTTAATAATGTGTGTGAAAGACCCATACTTTGTGGCCATATTTTTGCTTTTTGTTACTGGGTTAACAGGAAGTTTCATAGCTTGTAATGAAGATAGCAATAATAATGGTGGGGATTACTGGAAAATGGGAGCTTCCTTCATCTTTGGAGATTCTTTGGTAGACGCCGGAAACAATAACTACCTTTCCACCTTGTCCAAAGCTGACACTCCTCCTAATGGCATAGACTTCAAACCCTCCGGCGGTAACCCTACCGGCAGGTTCACCAACGGAAGAACCATCGGAGATATTATTGGTAAGTAATAATTAATTACTTGTATATAACACCAACCTTTAATTTCAACGTCATATTATATATAGATCAGAATCCATATTAGTTTCTTTGATCATTGATCTGAATTGTTATTAGAAAACTAGCTAAGCTAGTACTGGCATATTTTCAATTAGACTTATTTTAATTCAGATCAGACTGTGTCATATTTTAACCGGAAAAAACAAACCAAGAGCCCGTTTGGTAGCACGAAAATCGGCTGATTTGGCTGATTCTGCTGAAATTGATGAAGTTCTGGCTGAAGTGACTGCATTGGCTGATTCTGCTGATTTAAGAAAAAAAAATTAAAATATATTTTATTAATAAAATAAAGAAAAAATTATATGTAAAAATAGCTAAAATGGTCATCTACAGTAACTTCAGCCAATACAGCCAGAAAAGTAACTCCAACCTTACTTTTTCTGCTTATTACACAATTCAGCGCGCGAAAGCAAAAGTTACGTGTTTGGTGAAAAAGTTGGCCGATAAGCCTGATAAGCCGATAAACAGTGTTACCAAACAGCCTCCAAATCGAACAAAACCAAACTTAGACAGCAGTAAAATAAGCATACATCGGACATATAATTTATCAGCATAACCCAATTTTTATGGTTTGATCTAATTTGATAAATGTATGATTCATGTGTATTTTATTATTTTTTAAATTTGGTATGAGTGAGTAACAAATAAGTACGTATAGCGTACACCCGGTTGTACGTATAGTTCACCGTACAACCAGATCTTTTATCTTATACTTAATGAGTATAACGTTGAAAATAAATGAACATTGGTATCAAATCACTTATAGTATAATTGAATATTAGAAGTGTTCAATTGAATATTATGATCTACATGTGATATATATGTTACAAGTCAACTTATTCATTTAACTATATTAAGGTAGTATCATTGTATTATCATCAAAAAAAATTATTGTGCTAATTTTATAATTTAATAGCAATACTCATTTCATTTAAACTATATACTCATTAAGTATAAATTAAAATACCCGGTTGTGTGCATGGTACAACCGGATGTACTTATGTACGACCATATAATTTACCGTTACAAAATCAAGTAAAATTATCTCATTTGTTAAACTAAAATGGTACTACAAAAGTTCTAAATGTTCCAAATATCTCATTCTTTTTCATACTCCGTATATAATTTGGATGTATCTTAATTTTTATATATATTGAATATAGACCTACATGTAAATTAAAATGTTTTTAATACAAATCTATTGTAATTGTTCCAATTTGTTTTATTCTTAAATGTTAATACGATGCATGTCAGTATTCTTAAATTCGTTTCACAAGAAAAAAATTCTTAGCATCAATTTTTGGATTTTATATCATACTATCGTATTTCCCCTATGTTTACTTTTCTTTTCCTCTATCTCTCTTTTGTGGAGTACTTCATCAGCCCTTATAATTTTGTCATATTTCTTTTTTTTTTCTTCTCAAGATCTTAGACACTTTCCTCACAGTACAAACGTCTGTTAATTAACCTGTGGTATGAACTTCTGTCAGGAGAGGGATTGGGACAGTCTTACTATTCAACGCCATTTTTAGCTCCAAATTGTAGCGGAAAAGCCATACTCCATGGTGTGAATTACGCGTCGGGGGGCGGTGGAATTTTGAACGGAACTGGATCCATATTTGTAAGCAATCAAACAAACACCAATCGCTTACACACCAAGTATTTCAATTTTTTGTCCTTAATTTATATAACATGTACACCGATGTCCTTAATTACAAACTTGAGAAAACTGTTAATATGGTTCCTGCATTGTCACGGAAAAGTCAATCAGGTCCTCGTATTATTAAAAAAATCAATAAAATCCTCCTAACTTTGTAAAAATGTTCAATTGAATCCATAAAATCAGTACACAAATTGTACACCTGTAACACCCCGGCCCCGCAGGATGCGAGGTAGTTACTCCTACACACCCTCCAGACGTCTAGTATTGCCCTCACAAACCGGCACAAGCCTTCCACGCGCACTTTGTCCTCACTTGTACGTGCCCTGAGAAACTTCTCAGGGAGTAGTTATCCATTCCAAAACTACTCCCGTGCAAGCACGCTTAACTTTGGAGTTCTTAGGTGATAAGAACCCTTAAAAGGGGATGCATCTTGTTGATATGAGTAGTATTATTAATCCGTTTGAATTAAATCTCAAGTATTACAACACCCCTTACTTGCATGCATGTATACAAGGCAACTCGTTTAAAAAAAATCACTAATTATCTTCCAATTGTCTCTATGGCTCTATATACACAAGCTGTGTAAAAAATTTGTGTGCGCCAAGAATTTCCCATTAATTATTTACAGGTGTTGGGTCAATAGGATTTTCCCATTGATTGGGTGTAATTGTTGCAGGTGAATAGGTTGTCAATGGACATCCAAGTTGATTACTTCAATATAACAAGGAGACAAATCAATAAATTGCTTGGTGCCTCAAAGGCAAGAGAATTTGTCACCAAGAAATCCATCTTTTCCATCACCGTTGGGTCCAATGATTTTCTCAACAATTACTTACTTCCGCTAGTTTCTATTGGTACAAGACTCAGCCAAACTCCGGATGCCTTTATTGACCACCTTATTTCTCATTTTAGGGCTCAACTTACGGTATATAATATAATCCCAATGATTTCTCTCAAGATTTAGGGCGTGTTTGGGAGTTGAGTTTTGAAGAGGAGGGGAAGGTTAATGACGGTTTATAATTCTTCTTTTCATGTTTGGGAGTTTATAAAATTGGAGAGGATGGTTTTGGAGGGTTTTCATGACCTTTGGAGGGCTTTCAATTTTTAAGTTCCTCAAATTTGAAGGGTTTTGACGGATAATTAATGAAATGTTAATTTAAGCTCAATTAAAAATAAATATCAGTTCAATTATTTAAATTCGTCATATCTCAATGTGATTTTAATTATAATTAATTCAAAAACTCTCGTCTTCCAAATTTATTTCTCCCAAATACAAAGAAGAGCTTCCTCACCCTCTCATGCCTTTCCCCTCAAACAACATACCTCCAAAGCCTCCTCATCCACTTCCCTCCGAACTCCCAAACATACCCTTAGGGGGTGTCCCCAATTCGAATTCTTAAGGATTTTAATGGAGTTTAAAATTCCGTCAGAATTCAGGTGTTCCCGATTTGGATTTCTGTGGAATCCATTAAAATAAGGGTGTCCTTCAACATTCTATGGATTTTTGGTGTTACTTATTTGCACGGATTTTAATGGATTTCGATGAATTTCTATATATAAAAACAATCCACCACAATCTTGTAGACTCCCATCGAATTTCAAAATTCTTGATCTTTTAAAATTCATCAAAGTCATAATCGGGGCACCCCTAATTTACTTTTGGTACAGAGGTGTGTTTTAGAATTAAGATATTATTATTATTATTACTATATATCTCTTCATTTTCCATTTTACAACGTCCGGTTTTATGTTTATTGCCTAATTTGTCACACCAATATTTTTTTCAAAACTACTTTCAAGCTAAAAGCTAGATACTTCAATGATTAGTTGAGCATAAAAGTTTTAAAATGGAAGCTCTATTGTTATAACTTACTTCGTATAAGTTTATGGTTATAAGTTATAATAAGTTACTCCCTCCGGTCCCAAAATGAAATTCACACTTTCCTTTTTTGGTAGGTCCAAAATAAACTTCACACTTCTTCTCTCTTTTTTATTTGGCAAATTATTTACATCAAAACAGTGCAAAATAGTGCAAACAGTGTCAAACAGTGTCACAACAGTGTATTCTACAGTAAAGTCAAATTTATTTCCTTAATTTGTGTGAAGTCAAAGTGTGAATTTCATTTGGGACCGGAGAGAGTATAACTTACTCCATCTATAGAATTGCAAAAAAAAAAACTTACTCCATCTATATCATTTAATTTATTCTTGTAACTACACACCCGTCCATACAGAAATTTAAAATTGTTTTAATTTCGATATGCAGAGGCTTTACCAATTGGATGCAAGGAAATTTATTATAGGAAATATTGGACCTATTGGTTGCATTCCTTACCAAAAGAATATTAACCAGTTGAATGACAAAGAATGTGCAGAATTAGCAAACCAGCTTGCTCTCCAATACAATTCCCGTTTGAAGGACTTGCTGAGTAATTTGAACCAAAATCTCCCTGGTGCCACATTTGTACACTTGAATGTTTATGATCTTCTCATGGAATTAATCATAAACCATGATAAATACGGTGAGATTTTTTTTTGTTCTCTCCTACGCAAAATTTAATATATTAGTCTCTTCAACATATAATAATTAAAAAATTCCCCTAGTAGGAGTAAAAAATGTGATTTCCTAAATAATTAGAAATTTCCCTAAGTTGGTGAGTATTAGATTTGCAAAACTAAAGGAGTGTTTTAAACTGATTCTGCTTCTACTTCTTTTTTCAAAAACTGAATCAGAATCCGTTTTTTGGGAATGGTTTCCCCCAACGTCTAAAAAACCGCTGCTATGAGTAATTTGGAGCATTCAGAAATACATCTACACTTTTACCAAACACTCTAATATCTGACTTTACTCACTGAAAGAGCAGAAACACTTTTAAGAAGCAGATCGAAACACCCCCTGACCCTCATACATAAGTTTGAATGTCATCATTCTCTCATCAGCCCTTAATTAATGCTCTGTATAAAACTACAAGTATACATTGGTGCAGGATTTACCACAGCCACTATGGCTTGTTGTGGAAACACAGGGCAATATGCATGGATAGTTCCATGCGGATCAGCATCCAATATGTGTGGAGATCGCAACAAATATGTATTTTGGGATCATTACCATCCGACTGAGGCTGCTAATATCCTTATTTCCAATAAATTTCTCCAAGGAGATCCTAAATATGTATCTCCAATCACTCTTCTTCAACTTAGAGACTTATAATATTTCATTACTCTGTATTTTGTAAATTCTATACTAGTCTTTACTTCGTATTTGGTTGTATAAATTCTCCTGAATTTCTTGTTTTTTATTAAAATTCACTACTAGGAAAACATCTCATTTAATATCTTATACGTTTGGCAACAATCTTATATGTAGTATGCATTTCACAATGCATACTTAATTGTACATTTGTACTAGAAGAAGTATACGTTTTGTGAGTTGTGACTATATATAATTACCTTACATAAGTTGTTTGAAATACTAAAAGTTTCCCAAAGAATAATTGTATTATATTTAGAAAAAAGATGGTTCCTATGTCGGCTCGATAGGTGTTCGGTGTTTGATTTGAGCACTTGATAAGGTCGATAGATATGCAGCTCAAATATAGAGATCTAATTTATGCTCGTTACATGTTTGTGCTCATATCACTTGACATTTCAACTAGTACGGTGAACTTTAACACCAGTAATACTCCATACGTTCCAAAATGATATGAAGTGTCAACTTTTCCTAGTCAACATATATAGTTTCACTTTATCTACTTATTTAACATATAATTTTTTTATATTCTAAGGGAGCAAAAGTAGATATTTAAGTGTTTGGCAGAAAGTGCAGAAGTACTTTTGGGTGCTTCAAATTGTTCCTAGAAGCGGTTTTTTAGAAGTTGGAGGAGACCAGCTTCTGAAAAATAATTTTGATTCTGCTTCTGCTTCTGCTTTAAAAAAAGAAGCAGAGACAGAATCAATTCCAAACATCCTCCAATTTGGACTTTGCAATCTTAAAGAACATTGAATATAGTATTCGCATATGCTGATTTTAATTATTATGAAGTATAACAGATTAAACAGCCAATAACTTTACTGTCAATAAACTTTAAAATTCATAAATTGCAATTCAATTTGGGATATGATTGAGGAAGTATTGAATAACAATATCGATACAAAGACTAAAGAAAATAAAGAATTCAATGTTGTTTTGTCAAAGATTGATACGACTATTTTTCATGGCTGATGGCTCTATGTCAACATTCAAATATCTTGCAAAAAAATGGCTTTAAAAATGGATTTGTCAAAAAATTGTCATGTATTTGTCAAATCCGAGCCAAAATTTATGCAAAAGCGATTTGTCATGTAAAATTTACCATTGAGTCTTGCTTGACAAAAGATAAGTCAATTTGTAATAACTACTCCGTAAGTTTTAGGTCCTTTGGTTTATTGAGATGCAGCATAATAAAAAATCGATTTGTAAAATTAGATTATTAAATAAATTTGTACTAGATCGAAATTTTGACCGTTTATAATTATGGTGATTCTGTTCTAATTCAAATTTTGTGTTTTTGCTTTCGGGATGTTAAATACTATGTATATTGGATGTCCTATTGATGACCCTAATCTAATACTTCGTAGCTAATATTATATTGGATGTTTTGGTTTATCTAAAAACTCAAAATTCTGGCCGTTTATAATTAAGGTTATTCTTTTCTAATCCAACTTAGTGTTTTTCTTTGGGTTTTTGTATGTGTGGTTTTATAGTTTTGATGTTTCATTTTTGTATATCCTATGAGATAGTGGTTTTATAGTGGAATCATAAAAAGATGGAGAAATTTGTAAATTTAGCCCCTATTTAGTTCCGTAACTTTCGATTGTGTTCATTATTATTATTGTAACTTACTCGATGGGAGATTTAGCCTTGTAATTAATAAATCAGTATAATTTACCATTGTAAAGCATACTTTCGAGCAAAAATGTACTGAAAGATACGCCGTCAACGTCAATTTTTCTGTTGGAAATTGTAAGTCCTCAAATTGAACCAAATCTCGAAACGAGTGAAGTTATATAACTAATAACAAGCATATCCAAAAGTTAGTCAATTAAAATTGAGATCTTCCCTATAACAAGATGCAAAACTCCGTACGTTATTGTTACTGATACATAGAACTATAGAAGCATATATTCCAAAAAGAAACCTAACTGAGAATATATTACAAGATGCTCGAACGGTAAGTACATATTTCAAGGCTTAAAAAAATTAGCCCGCAAGCCATTAGCTATCAAATCCCACAAGGTTGTCGTTGCCATTACTAAACACATTAACATTCCTAAACAGCCGAGAGCCATGTTGACACACCAGAGTAAGCTCCACCGGCGTGGGCTTTTCATGGAAATCCACATGAAACACGGATAAGCAAAAGTAAGAGGCAGTGTGATGGAGCCGACAAAGCCAGCTAAACTCCCCAAGAAAGGGAAAGCCATAGCTACCAAATAGGTCAATCCACCGAACAGAACTTTGATACTTAACCGCAACCATCTAGACCCACTTTTCTTTTTCTTGGTCAAGTATATTCTCTCCCAATTGTCCAACGTTGGTATTGCATATATTTGGAAGTTGCATAGGCAAGCTATGATGATAATCATGTATATCGCTCCCATCCCGGATTTCGAAATGTCATCTCGGTGAAATTGTGCAAATGCATTCAGAATTCCTCCTTTGTTGTATGTCCTAGGCATCTGTATGTCAAATTAAAGTGAAACTTTGATTAGTAGTTAATATAGCACTTTATTACTTCATAATTCACCGGAGATGAGAGAATGTTAAGAACCAGATTGCCATAAGCCCAATATCCTGCAATGGCTAATGGGAAGTGACACAATGCAATGATGGCATAAGATGCCACAACCCCTTTCCACATACGGCGTCGCATTGGAGTGGTATTGGAGGGCATGGTTCCCTGTATCTCTAGGACGAGATTGTGACCTCTAAATGCAAGAGAGATGAGGGTCAGAGCGTTTACGATGTCCCGAAACCTGTCCACCTTTGAGGTAGAAACGAGTGGAGGGTCATAAACCACTCCTTCCGGTCTGCCCTTGCTAAGGGACAGTGTCCACAAAACAGTACAATAGGCCACGCCCGTGACTGAACCAATGGCCGCGATTGAAGACAAGGAATTCATATTGGGGAAGAAAATGGACACCAATATGGCGAGGCAAATGAACACCAGAAACCATTCTGCCCCGGTGGGCCCAACCCCGTGGCAGCTGGGGTCCTCTACGCCGCCGCACATGGTTTTGTAGAATAGCTCAAGGGTCCCACCGCCGTTGATTATGAATAGAACGCACGCGCCTCCGGAAAGATACATTGTGGGGAATATGGCGGTCAACTTGCCGGCGGTTTGACCAAAAGCTACGATGGCTAGGTGGGCGTATCTGCTGAAACGAGTCCCGGTGGCGGCGCTTTCGTGAAGGTCCACCAATAGCCAAATGGTATACAATTGCCATACGTATACAAGTGATAGACATATTATTCCCCATGCCCTACATTCCACCAAAGAGTAAATTAACTAAACACGAACAAAAACAAATTAGATACTACGGATAATAATGAAGAACATATGACTAAGAGTAACTAATGTCCTTCAAAAAAATGACTAAAAGTAAGTTAGTAAATAAAAATGTAATTTTCATATTTTAGTGACTATAATGTTGTCGTTGATGATACACCGTAGTATCTTTAATTACATTTTGTTCGTAAAATTTATTTTATTACGCTCACGTCTCTTTTTATTTAATCATATTTGAATTTTCAAGTTGATGTTAAACTTTGATCAATTATATATTTATACACGATAGTATTGATAATATGATGAAAATGATATAAAAATATTTTTTGTTAAAAAATACTATCGTATATCATAAAAGTATAAATAAATTTATTAAGTTTCACATAAATATCTTATTTAAAATAATGGATCAATGTTTATCATCTTTGATTGGAAAAATCAAAGGTGACTAAATAAAAAAGGATAGAGATCGTAATATTTAAGGCCTTGTTTGGTTCAAAGGAGGGGAGGGAAGGGGAGAGTCAAGGAGGGAAGGGAAGGGAAGGGGAAGGAAGAATTTTGATAAAAATTTGTGTTTGGTTGGAGGAAATAGGAGGAAAGGTTTAATGAAAATATTTTCGCAATTTACTTTTATTTGATAGCTTACTTAAAAAAATAGATACATGTCTAACTATTGTGAATATTACTTCTATGTTCATGAGTCATAATTTTATTTTATTTGAATTTTTACTTTTGTAATTTTATAATTTTTCATTTTTGAGTTTGGAATTTTTAAATTTTTATTTTTATTTTTTAATTCTTTTTATTTTTAATTTTTAAAATTTTTAATTTATAATTTTTAAATTTTTCAATTTTTAAAATTTTTAATTTTTTAATTTTTTAATTTTTTAATCTTTAAATTTTTAAATTTTTAAATTTTTCAAAACTTTTTGTTTTTTACCTTTTTATATTATAACGTTTTGTTCATTCACGTATGAGATGAATAGTTTGTGGTAATCAACATGTTTCCTTCGAAATGCCTCTATTTGGGGGGTTTAGAATTGGAGGAAGTAGAGGATTTTGAAAGCCCTCCCCTTTCCTCCCCTTCCCCCATATTTCCTTCAACCAAACTCACACAAATCCCCCACTTTCCTCCCCTCCCCTCCGAAACCCTCCAACCAAAACAGGGCCTAAGGGTATGTTTGGGAGTTGTGTCTTGGAGGGGAAGAAGGGTTAGGAAGGTTTATGACGTCTTCTATCTTGTTTAGGAGTTGAGAAAATTGGAAGAAATTATTTTGGAGGGTTCTTGTGAGCCTTCAAACCATTCAAATGTTCAATTTTTAATTTTCTCCAAATTGGGAGGGGGTTTGAAAAATAAATAATAAAATGACAACTTTAACTTAATTAAAAATGAATATAAATTCAACTATTTAAATTTAAACAAGAAGAATGATTTCATCATCTTCCCCTTCCCTTCCCTTCCTAGAACTAATATTCAAAGTTTTCCCCTCTACTCCCAAACATACCTTAAAGAGAAAATCTCAAGATATATACATTAAAAAAGTCCAAGTAATGTAGAAATTAAAATTATTTGTTATTTTAAGATATACTATGTATCAACTAATGAGTCTTCCCATGAAAAATAAGAACATATCTAGCCTATATTAATCATGAAAAATATAATGAATTAGATCATTTTTCATTTTATTATCTTAAGTAAGTGTATCTCATATGTACCCGGTGTGACATTATATTTAACAACAGAAGTCTTAATAAGGTATGTAAAATGATAAACTAATGTACAAATGGGGAAAGCAAACCCAGAAAAAAGAAAAATTTTAGACATACCAGCCGAGGGAGGTGAAAGCAACGGGAAGAAGGAGGGCCTGGAGGCCGATGCCGGAGGAGAGCAAAAGTAAAGTGACGGAGAAAAAGTTGCCATTTCTGGACTCTGTAATGGGAAGCAGAGAATCTATGGGGGCCAACTCTCTGTAGGACGCGTTTCTCTCCAGAGCTGATTCTCCCCGAACGCTTATTCCTCCCACTGCCAGCACTTCTGCCGGCGTCCAATCCTCATAAATGTCTGCCGCCGCCGGTTCCGGGAATACTCTGCTGCTCGACGACGACAACCTGCTCGCCGCCGCCTCTATTTTCACTTCCACCACCGCGCCTTCTTCCATCATTAATTAATTACCTTCACAATATATTCAAGTTATTGGCATCTATCTCTGCTTTATATCGATAGAAGATCGCCATGTAGCGGCGCTATTGGGTTACCCCTACACGCTAGTACTTTACGCATACAAACGTTTTGACTTCATTTTTTTGTATTGACTTTGCTAACTTCAAGGTTGTTGTTTTATAATTACAGATTAGAAAATTAATATAAATATGATTAATAACGTTTCTATATTCTAAAATAGAATTATCATGTTTTCATTATTTAAATAGGTGTAATTAACTAATTATTATCATATTTTGGTAGTACCAAACTTTAATCATGACAATATTTTTTAAACTTGACAGTAATTACTGTTATTTAAGGAATAAAAATATGATAGTCCTATTTTGGAATCCAAATTTTTTTTACTCCTATTTCGGAAATTTTCCTTTAAAAATTAAAGTTGTAAAGCGTGAATGCTTATGAACAATCTACATTTTTGGTTGCTTAACTGAATAGGGTAACATAGATTTTAAATTCCTAAAATATGAGTTTTAATTACTATGAAAAGTACTCTCTCCGTCCCAATTTGATGGTCCTGTTGCGGTTTACAAAGTTTGACCAATGATTAAGCTAACGAATCCTTGTCCGCACTCAAGTTATTTGTAGCATATAAAATTTACATATTCAGAAACTACAATAAATGTTTTACAAAGTCGCAAAAACCTGAATCAAATTTCATAAAAATTTAAGAGTGATTTGTGTTGACCAAGTGAATATGAACAAGAATCATCGGGCGGAGGTAGTAATTAGTTGCTCGGTTTGAACTTTTTTACTGCATTCATGTCAGAACCACAACAAATATGTGTTTTTTATAACTATTGTTGCGATTATATAGCTAAAACCACAACAAAAGTGTAAGTTTTTTTCAAATAAAACAACATAGATCTCGAAAAAATATGTGTTTTTTTGCATCGATCAGATACGCGAGCGCAAAACAAAGTGTCAAAGTGTATTTGAAATTATTCAAAAAAAAAACATTTGAGGTTATAGCAGGAACTGCAGCAAATGGAGTCATTTGCGTGCTACGGTTCCAGCTATAATCGCGACAAAACAAGACTTTTTCGGTATCTAAAAATACACTTTGTTTCACGCTCGAGTTTTTCGATTGGGTATCTTATTTTTAAAAAACATATTTTTTTCGAGATATGTGCAACGTTGTATGTTGAATGATTTTTTTGTGTTTCAAGAAAGTTTCACGTTTTTTGTGCTTTATAATTTACTTTTGAAGTATGCATCGAATATTCAGGTACACAGTTATAACTTATAATATACCTTGAAAGTATTGTGCATATAATTTTTTTAAATAAAAACATACGGAGTATTAGATCTGAATATGTAACGGAATAATATAAATAATATTACACCTACTATTACTATTAAAATTACAGAAACTATTAGTAGAAACTACTTTATTCAAAATACAACAAATTTTAGAGTATATATACCGAATTTAATTTATGTGTATTAAGAATCTTCAATGACTTAGCGGTTTGAAAGTGCATACATGATCTGTGCACGCTCTGCTGTGCTTTTAAGGTCACGAGTTCGAAATCAGTAAGAGGCAGGCTAAAAAAGAGCAAAGTGGATTAATTTTGTAATTCTAAAAAATTATTTTTTAATTTGTTGCAGTTATACAACAACCTCAACAAACAAGATACACTATTGCTTGCGATTGTTCAAAACATTCGTAACAAATAAGGATTTCTAATTTCTTGCAGTGAAAGGACTAAAGGAGTAGGATTTTCTAATTACCTTATTTTAAACGGAGAAATATATAGTAATATAGGCGTAGCTCTTACATGTTTGTATGCGTAAGCAAATAACGTAAGATGTGTTGAGCTCATGTTGTTTACGTCATAGCTTACTTGTAGTTTTTTCCCGTCCCGCTCGTAAAATTCTTTGGGAAAAAGTGTTCAGTTTCAAACATAGTGGTTGACAATTATTATATAACAAAATGATACCATAATTAACATTAAAGCGATTGATGAAATTGATTAACGGGCAATAGCGGTCATGAATCATAATTGACCTAACCCTTTTTATTAGAGGTAATCATTAGCTATATTAAAGGTTATAAAACTTAAATTACTATTTAATTTTAATAATTGTCAAACATTATGATTAATATTGAACACCTTTTTCCCCCAAAGAATTTTACAGTCGGGTAAAAAAGCTACTCCGTAATTTCCGTATGATGTAAGCGGTGTGAGCTCATCCATCTAACATCCTTAGCTCAGAGCATCTTTAGTGAGAGTATGAATTGTTTAAAATGTATTGACACATCACAAAAATAGACATTTGAGGGAAGGTGGGTGTAGTCCAATGGATGACCATCCACCCCCATGCAGTGGCGGAACTAGAGAAAAAATTAAACAGGGGCACAATCACTTTATGTAAATCATGACATTAATAATAAAATTGTCTTAACAAATTACACTAACAAAACATACCAAATTTAATCAAAAGAGTTAACGTAATGGTGCTAAATCCAACCTACGGGTGCACATGTTCTGAAAATGTTGGATAATAACCTCATTATCGATGCATCTAAACACATCTCTTTCTACGTAGCAGACTACACAATCAGTAAGATAATCATCTCCCATTTTATTACGTAATGCAGTTTTGACAATCTTCATCGCTGAGAAGGCTCTTTCCACTGTAGCTGTGGCAACAGGCAAAACTAGTGCCAAAACAATCAGGCGGTAAACTAGGTGGAAAACAGTATGAATTCCAACTTCAACCATCTTCTGAGATAGCTCTCAAATATTCTGCAAATTGGAAAATATTGCATTCCCTCTCATTTCAAAGATCCAAATTTGAAGTTGTTCTTCAAGTTCCACGCGATCTAGATTTGTGAAATCATTTGGATATAATGATGCAAACTCAATTAACTTTGCCTCACAAAAATTGGAGAAATTGTTCTTGGGATCAAGACATGCTACACACTTAAGTAATTATGTCCCAGTCTCACTGAAACGATTGTCCATCTCCATTTGAATTTTGTCGATGACCTAACAAATTAAAGTAAAAAAAACTAATCAATTATGAACTAATATTTTACATAAGAAATACAGTAAAGTATTTACTTTTACCTCATATAAAACCTCATACCGAAGATAGTGATAATTAGTTTTATCACCCCCAACACGCCTTGACTGAATGTGTGTAGCAGGATCATCCAAATTAATAATTGTGATGCCATGTTTCTCACAAAACTTGTTCACATCATTAACAAGACTTTCCCATCGAGTTTCCCTCATATCTTACGGCTTTTCTTTTGTAGTTTGAACTAAATTAACAGCCTCAAGAATATTCTGATTTTTTTGTTGCAAAAACTTAGACAAAACATATGTCAAGCCTAATACTTTTTTCATCACATGAGCAATAAAAACAAAATAATAACTCTCCATCTTCTCAATTAAGCTTCCTGCCAGTCCTCTACTTTTAAAATCAGCACCATCGTCACATATCTTACATAGCACTTCAAGAGTGGGAGACCATAGTAATAGCAATCGAAGGATGGTAGTATAATGAGAACCCCATCGTGTAGCTCCTGGCCGAGCTAAGGAGCATTCTTGGTTCAAACCTCTTCCAGTTTCTATTTCTCCCTTCTCTAACATTTCCACTAACTTTTACTCTTGTATCTGTCTGAACTCATCTTTCTTTTGAAAGAAGCTCCAACCATGTTAGTAATCATACTCAAAAATTCAAAGAAATCACTCATAAAACGATTAATCGTCAAAACTGAGACAACAGTCAATTGCAATTGATGAGCAAAACAATGTATGTATCTAGCACATGGGTTTTCATTCAAAATTAGAGTTTTCAGACCATTGAGCTCACCACGCATATTCGATGCTCCATCATATCCTTGACCACGTAATTTAGAAATCGACAAACCATGTTTGGAAAAGAATTCATCTACGACACTTTTCAAAGAAAGAGCAGTAGTATCAACAACATGAATAAGACCAAGAAAACGTTCTATCACTGCCCCATTATCATTAACAAATCTAACAACAGCCATCTGCTCTTTTATAGATGAATCACGAGCTTCATCAACTAATAGAGAAAAATATTTTTCCCCAATCTCACCTATTAACTCTTTTCTAGTTTCAGAGGCACATGCGTTAATAAGTTCTTTTTGAATTACTCGACTAGTGAGTTGATGATTGCTCGGTGCATTGTCCTTCACAACTTTCGCAACCTCATCATTCCTTGCACTATACCAATCAAGAAGTTCTAAAAAATTACCTTTATTGGCTGAGTAATCATGTTCATCATGTCCTCGAAAAGCTAGTCCATGCACAAGAAGAAATCGAACAATATCCAAAATAGCCGTGAGGCGAACACGATAAGCGGCCTCTAATTTGTGTTTACCAATGGCAACACACCGTGTCAAACTCTGCCTTTGATCCTTAAAAGCTAAAAACGAAGTTCTAGCATCATTGTGCCCAATGCTTTTGACATGCTCTCTAAATTTTTCAGGGCCTTTCTTCCAATTAGGGAAACCTTTTTTGACAAACACTTCATCACCAAATCTTTTCATTTCATCTCCTTTAAACAAATAACACCAAAAGCAAAATGCAGCATCTTCAGACACACTATATTCCAATCATTCCCGTTTTGTATACCATTCCCTTTGAAATGACCTAGATTTGTTTCCAAACATAGATCGTGGGAAATCATGTAAATGTGGTTGGCAAACACCTTTTACAACATATTCTCTTCTTATCGCATCCCTAATTGACGGATCATAATCATTTATTGATTTTCTTAAACCTGGATCGCCAATTATTTCATTCTCAAGCTCATTATCTAATCTAGGTCTTTTTTTCTCTCGGATCATTATCCGTCCCCGCATTTCCATCAATAGTAGATTGTCTAATCCTAGTCTCGGTCTCTCTACCGATCCTACCATCCGTTTCTAGAGGTGTGGCTTGTAGAGAAACATTTGAAGAACTAGCATCGAAAGTTTTTGGTGTTTTTTTCCGGGAAAAATACTTCTCAATTGACATCCCCTAATGACAAATATTGAAACAACAAATAATTAATTCAAGATTTCAAGTCGAACTATTAATCTATTATA